GTCAAACATACTTATTTAATCTTAAACAACGGTTACGTCTTAAAGAAATCGACAACTCGATGCCAATGAGCTTAAAGCTACTACATAATCAAAATACAATGCAAGATAATAAAAAGATAGGAGGTTAAACTCATATGTAACAACCGATAGCTCTTTAAAAAAAGTTAGTTCTTCTGCCATTAAAAACAAGCGAACAGAACTTTTGTTTCTCTTTATTACACAAATTTTTTTTTTCCTAATTGTAAAAAAAGAATTACAAAAATTTCATTTTCTTTTTATAATTACAAAATGAAATTGATTTCACTAATTCCGTTTAATTAAATCGTAATTGTTTCTAGTTTATTGGAGTTGACCGGAATTCAAATGAGTGCAAATCCAGTTACATATGGATCAATCTCAAAAGAAAATGAAAATGTATCATATTCATGGAAAGTGATTAGACCCTTGTGTTGTAACGCATATGCTCTCTTTTTCCAGTCTTGACCAACAATAAATTATATGTATCCAGGAACAATTGCATTTCAATATTGAACCAATCATATTTATAAGTATAAAATTAAGGGCGGCTTCGTTTCTCCGCCTATTACGCAGAAACACACTGAGATATAATAAAAAAAAAATAATTTGGTCAAAAGAGATATAATAATTTCTAATGACATTATTTAGAAGAAAAAAAAAAGATTTGCTTTATAAAAAGGAAGTCCAAGGTCAACTGAATGGTTCTGGACTTTCATATATGGTTCCTGCTCTCATCTAAAGAGAGAAATAGTCTGGGAGAGGCTACATTTTCTAATAAACTAATCATATATAGTAATAAAATGAATAAAAATAATTCCAGTTATTATTATACAACCTTTTATTCATATACATATTATAAACACACGAGTTGCCAAAAATCAGAGCAACCCATAATGATTGAATAATTCAAAGTTCAAACAATGTGAGCCATAGTGAAGTATATACATATGAACATAATATTAAGCTATATAAACCCATCTTCTTCCACATGAGTCTCTCCAACTAAATTACATTTCATTACATCTCTGTAATGGAACCAAAAGTGACGAAAACACTTATTCTTGTAGCTCTATGTCTAATGCTTGCTCTGAACATTGCTGCTGAGACTAAGGTATATACATTTTCTTCTTATCTACAGATCTGAATCTTTTTGATACGTAAGTCATTTAGTTAGGTTCTCTATGAGTTTGTGAGAAGCTAAACTTGGTATGCTTTGTTCGATGATTTGATAGGTTCACATAGTGTATTTGGGTGAGAGGCAACACGATGATCCTGACTCAGTCACTGAGTCTCATCATCAGATGCTTTGGTTAATCCTCGGAAGG